ATTACTGGGGATGGGGCCTAAAGTCAAAAGAGAAAGGGGCCCAGAGAAGGACATCCCCCTCGTTCATGTAATCAGATCAGCCTCAGGGTGTTTATTAGTCAAGTTAAACTTTTCTCCTGACTTAGGGGAGAGGGGAAGAGACCAGGAAAAAAGTAGCCATGACCCATGGTTAATCTGCTATGCTAGCTATGGCTGAATGGCACAGAAAATGATTACATCAGCTTGGACTAAATCAGATGGAGGTCAGGCCACAGGCATGTGCCTGTCAGTGTTGCTTCTTGTACACACGGAAATTACTTCCACATCCCCACTATTTGCATTCTGCAGAAACTCAGAAACAGTCTTGTCGTGGCAGTGAGTTTGGGCCATTCTGTGCCTGGGGATGTCTTGGTTTTGCATCATCTGAAGTGACTGCTCCTGGGAAGACACAAATATTCTCGGACATAGGCTTTTGGCAGATTCAGACTGGAGGAGACCTTGAAGGTCATTGAGTCAAAACCTCCATTTTGATTTTATTTCTATACATTTTTCCATTTGGAAAGCAACAATTAATCCTTTGCCAAAGCCCAGCTGAGATAATAACTGTGTTCATTTCTTATGCGTTTCCTCCAAGTCTTATTCTATAGGTGGTACTACAGTAGTAATCATATTGGACCTCCAATTCCATCTTTGCCTTTTTACTTAACATTGTGTCCTGTACATTTTAATTTTATATTATGCAGCCCTCATTACTATTTTAATGCTTTTCGGTAGTTTATCCAATGATTTAATAGGGTAGTTTTCTTAGTCGCCTGCCTGTTTAGTGTTTCCAGTTTTGTGGGGAGAGTGATTTTATACATTGTATAATAGAAAATATTTCCCCATATGTAGATTTTTCTATATTTTGGACATTTCCTTGGGCTAGATGCCTGGGAGCATGTGATGAATGAGTCTGGGAGCGTGAGCACGTGTGTAGCTGGTAGTGCACTTTGCCAGACGGTTTTTGAAAGAGGATTGGAACAGTTGAAATCAGTTAAGTCTTCCAGATTTCACTGTCACCAGCTAGGTCAGTAAACTGAAGGCTGGAGGAGTTAAATGGCCACCTGACGTCCCCTGGATCCTGTGCTAAATCTGATCTGTCACCCAGAAGTGCTGATTTCCTTCAGCTCTTAGACTTCATTAGGCTGCCTCCACTTGCCCTTTTCCATAAATCTCTGTACACTCTTACTGAAATGATTTTTCACAAATATTCCAGATGCGTTTACATTTAGAGATAAAATTATATTACTTTACTTTCATTACTGTCTGTGTCCAGAAGAAAATAAATAGGTGTTCACAGTGTTGAGATTATATTGTTAATATGCATCATAGATTAAAAAATTTTCTGCCATGTTACTATACAGAACATAGCTACATAATGATAGAATAACCCACTTCACTGATAGAAAATCAATGACCAAACTTTATTTGTGGCTGGAGGGTGGTCACAGTGATGAAAGACACACACACAAAGGCATAGAGATCTGATGCTTCTCTAGAATCTCTGTCTTTTAGTGACATGCAAACGCCAATTTATGGTGTGTGTATTGCACTGAATGTCACTACCAGGAAGTTTACTTTGCGTTTTCATCAGCATTTGAGTGTAGCAGTAGCATAAGTTTGGAAATGAAATAGAGGGTAATTTATTTCAAATACAGTAGTTCAGGGTTACAGGTTTGTGTAAACTGACGGATATTTTCTCTCTTTTTTACTAAAGGTCAGTCCAGCTCCACTTCAGAGGATGCTGCTGCTGATACATATAAAACGCGAATTCCCAGCACAGCGCTCTCTCTCAATTCCTTCCATGCTGTCAGATACTACTCTGCACTCATCCCTTCCTGTGACACAGCTGCTGTAACAAATCAGAACATTTCGGTTCATTTTCCAACAGCGGTGGCCAAAGTCTCGAAGTTTCTTCCTCAGCACTGCAATTCTGTGTTGGGCCAGACGTGCACAGCACATCCCAACTGTCTGGTAAGTCCCCAGGTCTGTGGGTTAGATCGCATCCCAGCCAGCGGGGGCTCCTGACTTGCGCTGTGTTGTCGGTACTCTGGTCGGAAATCTCTTAGACCGGGTTCAGGGGAGTCACCCGGCTCTCGTTCCCCAGGCTGCAGGACTGGTCTCTAGATCCCCAGAATTGGTGAGTCTGGATGTGGCTCTGCTGGTGTGACCTCAAGTGACCAGATAGAACCTACTGTCCTCTAGATCCTCTCCCCCCACCCCCACCCACTTTTACGATGCCACATCCCATTTCACCAGCCTCACCCTCCACTGGACCCACGGCTGGCTGCTGCTCACCTCTTAGGTGGCAGCGGTCACTCACTGCATGAAAACCTGTTCTTCCAACGCCAACCAGGTTGATTTCAGATCCCAGATGTCCTCATACCACAGATAGCTATTGAGCACCCAGCATGTCGTAGCATCGTGCCAACCACCGAGATTGTCATGTCTGTAGATAGACAGGGTCCCTGCCCTTGTGAAGCTTGAGTCTCGTAGGGCAGCAGGCGTAGAAGGAGACGGTTGTGATGTGCACTGGAGCACGTAGGAGGAGCGCCCAGGGTGTGTAAGGCAATATGATGTGGGCGAGATCTGGGACGGTTTGCCCCTGGAAGAAGCAGTGTCTCAGCTGAGATCCAAGGAATAGGAACTAGCCTGGGAGAGTGGTTAGGAGTTGGGAGTGAGGGAGGGAAACACATTCCAGGCAGGTGGATCAGCGTATCCAAACAGTGGTATCTTCATTTTGTGAAAGAATTGTCCGGTTCTAGAGAAAGACCCGAACCAGACTGGCCTGCTTAAAATGGACTCTGGTAGCTTTAATATAACTATTGATACTTTTGTGTATTCATATCATTAACATGTTTTGAGCACTCAAATAAGTAATGTGCCAAACCCCCTATGTACTTACTGTGGGTGATCTAATGAATCTTTGACACAACCCTTTGAGGTAGGTACTGTTGTTTCCATATAACATCTATAAAATGAGAATAATAGTGACTTTCCCAAAAAGCGTGGATGAGAAAAATATTCTGTAGAGAATTAGAAATTTTAAAACATAAAGTATCCACAGATATAATACTGTTGCTAATGATCACTAGTATATGCCAGCAGGAAAACCAGGATACATGAAAAAAAATGATTGCAGCATTATTTTTTTATTGTGACCTACAGTTGCTATGTGTAGTTTTTGTTGGAGAATTGTTATAAGAATATAATTACTTTTAATAGCAATAAAAATATGTATTTTACAATCTGTAGGTGTATTCACCTGAAGATCTCACTGTTTTAACAAATCATCTCCTGTTGCTTTAGGACATAGAAAATATATTTGTGACATTATGGGTAAGAACCGGACAGGATTCAATTAATGTGGTTTTTTTTTTCACCTTTGCAGCAACAGTTTTGGGCGTATTAATAGCACATGTTTGAAATTCACACTCTAGACCACCCATTGGGTGCCGTTTGACAATGCAGGAAGATGGAACAAAGAATGCTCTCGAAAGCTACACTCAGAGACCTAATATCAAAAGCGTTTGCCTGGTTTGGCTTCTGATAAAGGTGCTAGAAGCTTCTGCAGATAGAAAGACAGGCAGCCAAAGTGTTCACCACACACCTCACTCATCTTTACACGTACTTGGATGTCCCCCAGCCCAGGTGTCACAAGAACAAACGGCCTAGGTGACCTAGACTCCTTCTCTCTCGAAAAACATCCCACAATTTATGCGAAAAGTACACTGTAAAGAAGATTCGTGGAGACCTGATAAAGTGCGTTGATACTCTGGTGTCACGGATACTGCAATTTGATTCTTATTTTTAGTATCTCTGTGAATTACTGTCCCTTTCTTCTAGGTGCTGTTTTTTCTAGTCTGACATTTTAGAGAGCTCCCTTTGTTACTCACCATTAGTTTGGGAGAAGTGCTTACCTCCTCACTTGACTACTAATGAATAAATTGACGTGTTTGTTTCTGTATTTCACCATCGCTTGAGTGAAATGATAGCTACTAGGTGAATTTTTCTTTCTGGATCTTTAGTTACAGACTAGCAGGTCTTTGTTTTTCATCTCCTCCCTATAAGGCATTAGAAAAGATGGCTGGAAATTAGGGGAGAAAAATGTTTGTTTTATATTTCACTGAAATGTTCTTATCATAATATAAGTTTTATTGTTAAAGAAGTTATTCAGTTTTGACCCTGAAAATGGTAACTCATTTTTGTTCTGCTTAATAAATACGTGTTCCCCCTTTTAGTATTACTACTTAGGGAATTTAATTTTACTAGATTTTTGAGAAGTTTAAAAATTACTTTAGGTAGGCATGGCCTAATTTTCATGTTCAATTGTATAACTTTTCTTTGAGGATGTGATGATGATGGAATTTGTGGATGTTTGACAAACTTTATAAAGGAACTAGAAGTTTCCAACTAAGATTCTATGCTTATTATTATAAATGTGTGTTTGACTCTTGCTTTGGGGAGTGGTACCTGCTTTGGCGTTGTAGGAGAACCTGTTGAGGTATTTTGAGCACTGGGATGACTTCCTGTGTTGACAGCTGGTCTTAATTTTTACTGGGACTTTTTCTTTGTGTCAGGGTTTCCCTAAATCCACACATGGACCATGAGAGACAGCCTGTGGCTGGGAATTCAACCTAGAGAGGTGACCCATGGGTCCTGTCTGCTTGCTATTGTCGATCCCCCTTTTCCTTTCAACATGAAGAGGAGGCTCCCAGAGTCATTTTCCCCCAAAGCTGCTTCCCATGATCCTTCATGCAAGTGTCCAAGTTCATTTCTAATTCTGGAATTTCACCTTTAATAAATTATGCTCTTCCAAGGAAGTTCAACTCTCAGCCAGGGAGGAAGGGTTCGTGAGCCTCAACCAGTAAAAAGGGTAGGATTTTCCTTTGTGAAATCAGGTTGGCTGGTCCTGAGACGGTTGCAGTGTTGTTTCCACAATGAAAAGGGTGCTAGGAGTTTGTCTAGAAGATGGTGGCTTGCTGGCTTCACACTGGTGCTTTTAGCAGTCCTGTTCCTGTCTGACGGGGAGTAAGGGCAGAAACAAATATTTATTGAGCCCTTTCTGTGGCCCCAGCAAATTATGAGATGTATCCTTGAGTGGGACGTAGCCTTCTTCATTTCTATACCCTCACTATCAGCCATCTTGCCAGTTGGTTGGATGGATGGATGAGCAGGTGCTTGGATGGTTACCTGGGGGAATGAGATGCCAAGAGGAAGTAAGCGCCTGAACGTGCGTGATGACTATGAGAAAGGAAAGTGGGAGACAGAATCGAGCACTTAGGGACCCATTTGACATCAGAGAAAGGGTGTTTATAAGATATTTCAGATTTGTGCAGCACAGGTGGGAGATCTGGATGAGCGGTGATGTAGTTCGGGGTGTCATCAATCTGGGTCGGGGGAACATTTAAGTGGTAGGATTGGCCTGGATGACCCAGGAGGGCCTTCTAACCCCGCAAATTCTATTATAATTCATTGTGAGAAGTCACCTGGTCAGGCAACACTCTGTATAAGTTTAAGGTGTACAGCATCGTGACTTGACTTACATACATTATGAAATGATGACCACAGTAAGTTTAGTGAACTTCCATCATCTCATACAGATACAAAACCAAAGAAAAAGAAACAAAAATTTTCCTTGTGATGAGAATTCCTAGGATTTGCTCTCTTAATAACTTTCATATATAATATACAGCAGTGTTAATTATATTAATCATATGATACAGTATATCCCACATTCTTATTTATCTTATAACCAGAAGTTTGTATCTTTTGAGATCATTTTCATTCAATTTTCAACCCCCATAGGAAATTAAATTTCTCTGAATGTCTAGCTTCTGAAAAATTCAAAACATAGGCAGTACCGGATCTATTT